TATACGATGCTAGGAAGCAGCAACCTGTAAGATTCTGTCTCTAGTCAAGGCGCATTCCGTACTTTCCAGACGAGCGCCGTGCGTCTCCTCCCTTGACAAGCGGGCAGAGACACACAGCCCTTGCCAAAAGGCCTGGCTGGGCCTGGACTTGCCTCTGGACCTCTAGAGGCCTCCTCAGTCCTAGGAGTAAAGGTTCCCCCCCCCCGTCCACTCCTCTGGCCAACAGTTAAGTTTCCCAGGAGGGTGATTTCTTTTATTTCAAAAAAGGGGCATCATTGCCCGAGTCCATCGCCAGGGAACAGGCCCTTTCTCCCACAGCTGAGTGTGGGAACTCTCCTTCTGAGCATGGATCAGGCCCAAGGGTGCCTCCCTGACCTCTCTTCTGCTTCTTGGCTGTTGACTGGGGGCAGACCGGACTCCTCGGGGTTGCCGACACCTCCTCTCCAGTTCTGGCGATACCAGTGGCAAGAAGCACCCAAAGCTGTTTAGAGGCAACTTCTGCCCCCTCTCTACCGAACTCTCCCATCTGCCCCAGACTTCCCAAAGGGGCACTCGGGCCCACCGGCTTTCGAGATCCAACTTCCTCAGGCCAGGAAGGAGGCCGGCTCCTTCCACGTTCTCTTGGCCCCTTAGGCACCTGTCCCAAGGGACGGCTTTAAAGCCTGACACGAGGGATAGCCTGGCCCACGCTGGAAGGCGCACCCTGGGACCTCGCAGCACAGCGCACCCCGCACAGCAGCGGCTCTCCCTCCGCCTTAACACCGTTCCCCTGCAGAGCACTCTGGTGGCAGACCTGCCCCTTTGCAGGCTCCCTCAGGCAGCTCCGTGGCTCAAAGGATCCGCGCGGACCCCTCATCTACCCCTCTGCCTGCCTGCCTGCCTGCCTCCCTTCCGTCCCTCAAAGCCTCCACAGGCAGAAACGGAGACCTGCGTTTTCAGGGTGAACCAGGAGTCTACAGGGGGCCCCTCCGCGTCAATCCTAAGGGCAAAGGACCTGATGAGAACGGCGCTCCAGCAGAAGCCGAAGGGCCACCAACTCACTCCTTGGTGAACATGGAAACGCGGCGCTTGTGTCCTCCACTAGCGCGAGCAGCACCAGTAGCTCCCCTGAGAGACCGCGGGTTCTCCCCCGCTGTCTGCATCGCGGCTCCAAAACCCCACCCCAAAATACGTCACGGACACCGCTGGACCCTGAAGCTCAACACTGGGATCAAGCAAGGTACTGTACAAAACTCCGCCTCAGCCGGGAGTTATGCGCCAGGCAGCATCTCCGGACACTGTGAGACCACTGCAAGGGTAGGCGATACCTTTAGAGACCAGTTTTGAAAAAATAAAACCAATCACCATACAGCCTGTTAGCTTTTGTGGATCGGGACCGCTTCGTCAACTGTGCAGCCACTCAACGAATGGGAAGAAGTTCCTGCTGGCTAGCATGTGTCAAAGGCTCCTCCTGGGATGGGGGGGTCTTCCCATATGAACGCGAGGGGGGCGCGTACCTCTCTCAGGTGCTCCTCGCAGGTCACTGCTGCCGCGGCCACCTCCTCCTCCTCCTCCTTGTTCTCCTTCTCCTTCTTCTTCTTTTTCTTCAGGGCTTCGCACCTCCTCATCTTGCAGACCTGGTGGCTGGTCCTTTGGTTCAAGCAGGGGGTGCAGCTGCCACAGGCCTCCTTCCTCAGGCAAGGGCCACAGAGTCCGCAGCGCCTCCGCTTTGTCCGGGGCCGGGGGGGCCCTTCCTCGCCGCTCTGGCCGGCCACTGGGAAGCCCCGGCCACTGGCCCCACTCAGCATCTCTGGGGGGCCCGGCCGCGCACAGGACCCTTCGGACCGGCTGCCCAGCAACACCGAGGCCAGTGCCGACCACGGGACGTTCGTCATGGCGCAGCGCCAGGAAGAGAGGCTGCGGGGAGGGGGGATGCCCTGGAGATGCTCTCCAGGGCCCTGGAAGACACCTGGGCGCCACTCCTGGGGGGGGGGGAAACAGCCGGGTCCAGGGCAAAAAGGAGAGCCTCCCCGCACACCTGCAAGGCACCTGGGCCTGGGTTTCACCTGCTCTCCTTCCCCAATATTTCGAGGGGGCTCCCCTCCCACCAAGAGGGCTCTCTGGGAGGAGGGGGGCCAGAGAAGCCCCGAAAGGGAACCATGCTGGAGGGGGGAGGCAGGAGCAGGATGGAAGGGGGGCGCCCCCACACACACGCCCCGAAACCCTTCCTCTCTCTTCTTGCCTTTGCCTGCGGGGGGGGGGGGCAGGGGGGAGG